CCCCCCAATTAAAATTCTGCACTTGTCAATTCACCAGAGGGTACCAAAAGTTGTTGCTTTCACTCCCTATTTCTCCATTCAGTTATTCTGAAACCAAAGGCCTTTTGGTCAAATGGAAGCTTATTAAAAAGATACTGAAAAGCCATCATCTGACCTCCACTGTAAAACTTAAGGAATTCCACAGGTCACCTCTGCAGCCATCCCACCTCTAGAGCAGCTTCTCAGGCAGCAGAGCTGCACCAGCTGAGGATGAAGCCCTGTCTGAAGGCGTATTAGAAGTGTTCCACACACTAATTGAAAGGCTTACTTACATTACCATACATTCCATAAATTCAGAGTTTAAAGATACCTTAAGAAACACCAGAAAATGGAACACAATTGGATTGCTCAGTCATGAAAGATCCACCTGAATCTCTTACAAGGATGAAGCACAGTCAGCCTCCAGTATCATATGAGATGTTCTGCTGGAACTAATTTTAAATACTTCCTGCCTTCATTCTTCCTTATTCTTGATCCAGTCTAATTCTCCCTTGATCCATTAGTGTTTTCCAATATTTTTACCAAGTTTTCACTAGTAAGCCAATGACTTTGACCATCAAAGTCTCTCAGACTCAAAAGAGATTTTTTTTGTATGAGAAGAGATATTATCACACTGATGATTTTCCCTATCTCCATTCTTGCTCAAGACATCACATTACATCCTCACTCTCTCAGCAATTCCTTACCCTGAACCATGACAGATCTACTGATAGAGCTGTCCTGATCACTGTACCAGAACAAGTTTCAGCTGCATCACCTCACTTTAAATTGTAACATCCTCCTAACCCTAATGAGAATTCTCATAAATCTCTGCTCCGCTGACTAACCTTCTACCTCTCTGTCACCCCTTCAGACTGCTGTCTGCTCCTATCAGTGTCTCAGTTAGAGCTATCCTTTCATGTCTTAATCCCTGCAACATCCCTATTAAGGTCTTCCCTGAGTAGCAGACTGTAGCAAGGACAGCAGAACCTTCCACCCTCCTCTCCAAGCAGGGCTGCATAATTGTCCTCAGTGAGACAGAAGACTGTTCTCTGCAAGGAATTCCATGATTAGAGGTTAGTTTGAAGGAGGCCTGTGTGAAGTCAGCTGCAAATATCCCCCTTGTGATACCTTCAAATACAGTAGGAATCAAAATTTCATCCCCATAAAATTAAGGACGTACAAATAAGAACAGAACATGTTCTTTCTTCTGTCACACTGAGACCTTGAGTGTATGAGGCACTGGAGGTATTTATGTGGATATGGTGCTTAGGTTTAGTGGTGGACTTGGCCATCTTAAATTTTTCACTGGGTTCAATGATCCTAAAGGTCTTTTCCAACTTCAGTGATTCTAGGAGTCTGTGTCTGCAGTCATCAAAGAAGAAGGTGGAAGGAGCTTGCAGCATAACCACCTCTCTATGCCTCCAACCACATCCTCCCCTTTACCTAAAAACTGCTATTGGAAGGATGAAGGGAATCAGCTTTATTCCCACAGGAGGTACAGGGGCCATTTGTGTTAAGCAGGAGACAGGGCCCAGGAAACTTCAAGCAAGAGAGAGGTAGATTAAGAAGGGTTGTGCTGAGGTGAAGTGACTTGTTTGACTTGCCTCATAGCAAGTTTGTGCCAGGATGCAGAGCAGAATCTCCTCTCTTGAACCCCAGCCCTCACCTTCATTTTCCATCTATTGCTGCTCACTCTGATATCTGGGGTATTTTCACAATGTGTATAGTTAGACTGAACTGGTTGTCCAGAGAAAAAAAAACACCTTGCACTAGCAGATCTGAGCTTGGCTTTTATCCACATGCAGAGAAGGTTCTTTGCTGTTCATCATGCAGCTGACGGTGAGCATGTTTCCTTAAAGAAAATAAATACAAATATTAACTGTCAGACAGGGAAAGATTTTCCCAGTTTGGAGAGCTATAAATAATCCTTCCCAAAATGTAAAAGCACTGTGATGCTGAAGTGTTTGGACATGCTAAACAAAAGGTTAAGTACATGACTTTGGAAGGAAGAACCTGTTTTTGCAAAGGTATAATGATGGGCCTGGGGGGACAATGGTAAGAGCTGACTCACAAGTACAATACAGCACTCAGTGATTCATGAGCTTCCCAAAAGACTTCAAATATCCAGCGTTTGTCATGAGGCCCTGTGAGACACAGAAATCACTTAATGGACTATAATGAGCATATATTCACCAAAGCAAGTATTGTAGCTACCATCTGCATTTCTTAGTGGCACGTTTGTGAGCGGGGTGTCTCCTGGTCACCAGAGTTTGTCTGCATCTCTCTGGTTTTGTTCCATTTAATATCTGTGTTTAAGACATTGAACTAAAAAGATAATTTGCAACCAGTCTTCCAGAAGCAAGAACAGTTACCGCACCTTGAAATACCCTGCAGCTTCAATCCCATAATCTGTAGTGTGGTCACAAATTTGACAGAATAATTGCAACTTTTTTGCCATACGTTGCTGTTACATTTTTCTTCTTAAAGGTTGCAACATAAATACCCGCCCTAAACAAAGCTGTCCAAGCTTGTTAGCAACTGTTGTTGCCAGTCCTGGCTCAGAAAGAGCACTACAAGGACACACAGCCTCGCAGGGCTGCGGTGGGAAATCCCCTATTGAAAAAGGAGCCCGTGTTTCCATGCGGGACTGTTTATGCCCTGATGCAAGAGACTTGATACAATCAGCCTGGCAGATGGAAGTGCACTTCTTTATTCTGTTTATTATTATTTTTTTTTTTTTAATTTTTTTTGTGTATGTATCATGTAAATGGATCTAGCTTTAAAGCATTTGTATTTTGGGAGATGGCTTGAGTTTCTGGCCATGGCCCTGGATTTGTAATCAAGAATTTTTTAACAATACATGAATACCAAAGAAAAAACGAACCAGCATCCCTATGATCTTGTAGGTACACACTGCATCAGAATGGCTCTCCAAGATCTCCACTCAGGCTGCAGATTGGTAATAACTGACTCATTTGCAAGAGCACAGCTCTGCAAACACAGCATTCCTCTAATGGATATTTGGTGTGCATTTAACAGAGCTTTTAAAACACTATCTGAGAAAACAGGCATACCGATGAATTCCATGAGAGGGATGGTCCAGATAACCTCTCAGGCCTATTACATTTGGAGGTGGAATCACTGTGACCTTTAAGTGAGTCATCAGCAGGGGAGTAGCCAGGCTCCTTGTGCTGTCCCTTGCTGTGAAGCAGCAGGGAGCTGCAGGGATTCTTTTCCTTTGGTGGATAAGCTTGCAACAGAGAACAAGGCCCACAGATGCTGACTTTCCTGCTTCTCGTCCACCTAAGCTTGATGTCTCCTTTACTCTGCTCTTTCTCCATTTCACCTCCTATCCCCAACTTGCCTCCACCCCCTTCTTTGCCATATCCCAGTCCCCAACACCAGTCACACCCTCCCTTCTCTCTCTTTACTGTCTTTACTTTCTCTGTCTGATTTGCCTTCTCCTCCTACTCCTAATTCCTCTCCAAGGGTGAGTTCTTTATCTTTTCTGCAACTGTGTGAATTACTTTCCTCTCTGATTTAGGCTCCATGAGGCTTTGACAGGGGTGACGCATATCTGTCGTATCGCACCTGTGTAGCCAGCAGCAGCTGAGAAGGAGGGCCACTGATCCTAAACTGCACTTGTCCCCAGCTCCTCAAACCACAGGACAGATTTCTGCATATTCATCCCTGCACCACACCTCTTACACCACACACACCACACCTCTTCAAGCATAAAAATCAAACTCTGTGTGCAACTGACAGCAGTGACTGCAGAATTACTACTTGGCTTCTCTTATCATAAGATTCATCTGAGTACAATCCCGTCAAGGTTTTAGTCTTTTTCAGATGTTTTGCCATGCAGGCACAGCAGTGTAACCCAGCCACCAGCGTTATTAAGCAGTCTCCTTTCTCTGACCCAGGGAACAGAGGCAGCAGACCGGTTCAAACACTGTTGCAGATGCAAAGATAGGGCCCTGCAAGCTCTCGTCTTCATTTTTTAAGTCTAATGTAAACAGCCCATGGCACCTGGAGGCTGGTGGGATGACCCAGGAGTCAAGAGGAGGAATTTAGGTCAGTTTACAGCTCTTATTTTCTATTTGTTTTCAAGCCACTGCTTTCAACTTAAATGACCACTGTTTTGGGTTGAACAATAACATGTAAAAGATACAATCCAATATTTGATTATGCCTGGAGAGCTGAATGTAAGCAAGTTGTTAAGCCTCTCCCCTCCGATCATCACTTCTGTCGGACTGCAGGATCCCAAACTTGACAATTCATATAATTAGAAGTGGTGAGGGAAGAGGAGCAAAACCCCCAGTTATTGCAAACACCTAACTGTAAATCTTCCTTAAGCTTCATGAAGAGACAGCACAAGAGTGCAAACTCAGCTTTAAAAAGTTCCCTGCAGATTCTGCCACGTGTGTGCAGGCTAAAGAAAATTGTGAAGGAGATGGCAAAGGAAACTACAAGTTTGAGGAAATGACAGCATGCCTTTTGCAGATAGCACTCTTGCCTCCATATCATCATTAATTTAACATCCTGGTGGAAGCTGCCTGGACTGTGTGTTAATGAGGTCTGTCCCTGTCAGATGACATGAAAAAATGACCATGGCCTGACCCCTGGAGGTCACCAATAATCCCGCAGCTCTTCTCAAAATAATACCATGTTAAACCTCGTGTCATGGGCAAATTGGCTTTATCTACCAAAATTTAAAATATCAAACAGCAGCCAGCATTTTAACAAGTTTGCCCCTCCCAGACCTTGACGGTCAGGGCCACTGTTAACAAGTAATCAATTAGCCTGCTTAAAAGCACCGATAACAACATTTTTGTGTCAGGGTGAGGGCTGATGGCCAGTACCTAATCTCCCCCTTCCTCACGCAATAATTTCTGAAAACTAAACAGCTCGAAGGCTGCATGACAACGGCGTTAAAACCTCTTGCTGGGTTTCTTTTCAAGCTGCCCTCAAAGAAATTACATTTAATTTTAAGACAAGTAAGGCTGAGGAGTAGGGTCAGACCCCCTTGGTGCTGTTGGCCTTGTGCAGGAACCAAGCCCTTCCTGCCTGTGACACATGTTCCCCTCAGGACTCTGCTGATGAGCAACCTTGGTGAGATTTGGGTTCAGAAAACACAAATGGAAATTACCCTTTGATGCAAAACACTGAATGAATGGCTAATACTGCTGTCAGCTGGGTGTGGTTTACAGATCCCAGCCTTGCTGTGATTACATTATTTATTCTTCCCATTGCTGATCTTCCCACTCCTATCAGACCTTTCCTTTGCTATCAGACCCAGGGCTTCAATCAACAGAGCTTGTGGGATCACCTTTCTTTTCATCATCTTCATCTTGGTCCTCATTTCAGTCTTCTTAAGGCAGAGAACTGAAGCCAAATTTAGCCCTGGGGCAGGTATCCACTCCCTGCCCAGAGCTGGGTCTGGAGACACTGGGACTGAGCCCAGAGACCCACATGAGTGTTGGAATCCCCACTGCAAGGCTGAGACCTTGGTTTTGCCTTGTAGTGTAAAATGCTTCGCACTAGTCCTGTCCTTACAACACAGCAAAAAGTTACTTCATCACTCAGAAACATCTGGGACCTATTATTTAAGCTTTTATAGAAGAAAAACTGTCTATTCTCTTTAAGACTTTTTTGTCTGAACATGCAGGTTACCGTGCAGAAAAACAAAGCACCAGCAGATCTGCAGAGGATATATCTGATATGATTCTTTACCTGTGTGAAGATCTCATGAAAATGAAAAGGGCAAAGTAGCTGGCACAGATGGGGCTACCTGCCTGAAGGGCATTGTGGTGTCCAGGGAGAGGCTGAGCAGCCAGCAGTAGAGCCACAGGCGCCTGCTTTTGCTCTTTGCTTGGAGAGGAATAATCACAGTACCAGACCTGTGCCTGACAGTGCGAGGGCCACCTCTCCAGGGTGCTCCAACCCTCTTACAGTGGTCTGTGCAACATGGGAACAGAAAAGTTATTTCTCTCTTCCCCATCCCCTTCTGCCTCTAGATACAGGAAACATGGCCACCCATGGATGCTGATGCCTCCTTTTTGTGCATCCCTGCACCTGGAGCAGCTGATGCAGGCAGCAACTGTGCTTCGTGCACATGACCCACGGCTGCTGGCTTGTGTAGCCCACCATCTGTCCTAAAAACAAACAAGGCCCTTGAAGTTTATCACAAACCCCACTTGTAACAGAAGTTCTTCACTGAAATCAACAAAACAGAATGCTGAGTCTCAGTTTTACTTTCCACTTTATGCCTCCCTTACGCCCTGGAGAAGGGCTGTATGAAGCTCAATATATTAAGTCTCACCCTCAGGATGTCAGCCTCAGAAACATAGTATTTTCTAATAAAATACAGTTAACCAGGCCAGTTCAGGCAGATACTTACCTGGGGAAAGGCCTGAATCCATGATGTTATTGCCAGCTAGAGTACTGAATGGTGCCTTAATGCACCAAAAAGTCATTTTTATGAGCATTTCTTTGCAGTACAGCTGCATCTGGTCTCCACATTTCCATTAATTTCTGCCATTTCTGAGTAATTTAAAATAACTCCTGTTACCTCACTTTCTCCCCTCCTGCCCATTGCATTTTTTTTAGTCACTGATGTCACCACAACTCTTTTCTTTAGTCACAGCAGAAACAGTCTCTCACTCCCACTTTGGCTTCTCAGTTTCCAGTCTCGTCACCCCATTCTTTCTCCATTCCTGAAAATTTATGCTAGCTTGGGCTAAGCAAGTTTCTTTTGCTCCTATTTCTTACCAGCTCTGGTTTTGCAGGTCTGGACAGTAAACTGTCCAGCCCTCTTTGTCCTTCTTGGTGTGCCTCTGAAGAGGTGCTGTT